TACCGGTGCCCTTGACATCCCCCCGATCCACTGGCTGGGGAACATGTTCCGCGATAGGACCCAGAGGGTGGTGGTCGACGGGAGCCAATCGTCTTGGTGTGCTGTGACCAGTCGGGTCCCACAAGGCTCTGTCCTGGGGCCTATACTATTTAACATATTAATCAATGATGTGGACATTGATGTCAGAAGTGGACTGGCCAAGTTCGTCAATGACACCAAACTCTGGGGTAAAGCATCCACACCTGAGGACAGAAGGGTGATCTAGGCGGATCTGGACAGGCTCATGAAATGGACGGATGAGAACCTGATGGTGTTCAACACCAAAAAATGCAGGGTTCTCCACCTTGGGAGGAAAAACCTGCAGCATGCTTATAGGCTTGGTAGTGCTACACTGGTTAGCACTACAGATGAAAGGGACTTGCGGGTTATGGTTGACCACAAGATGAACATGAGCCTTCAGTGTGATGCTGCGACTAGTCAAGCGACCAAAATGCTGGCTTGCATCCATAGATGCTTCTCAAGCAAATTCTGAGACATCATTCTCCCGCTGTACTTCGCCTTGGTGAGGCCACAGCTAGAGTACTGCTTCTAATTTTGGGCTCCACAATTCAAAAAGGATGTGGAGAAGCTTGAGAGGGTGCAGAGGAGAGCCATGCGCATGATCAGAGGTCAGGAAATCAGACCTTATGATGAGAGGCTGAGAGCCATGGAGCTATTCAGCCTGGAAAAGCGCAGGCTCAGGGGTGATCTGGTGGCCACCTATAAGTTTATCGGGGTGCTCATCAGGATCTGGGGGAACATGTGTTCACCAGAGCCCCCCAAGGGATGACAAGATCAAACGGTCACAAACTCCACTGTGACCAATTCAGGCTGGACATAAGAAAGAACTTGTTCACTGTCCGAGCCCCCAAGGTTTGGAATAGACTGCCACCGGAGGCAGTTTAAGCACCCACTTTGAACGACTTCAAGACACATTTGGATGCTTATCTTGCTGGGATCCTATGATCCCTGCTGACTTCCTGCCCCTGGGGCAGGGGGCTGAACTCGATGATCCTCCGGGGTCCCTTCCAGCCCAAATGTCTATGAAATCTATTAAATGTATAGCTCTTTCATATTTATCAAATAGAATATAGTATTATCTACTATTGTATCTTGACAGTGCAATGTTTCACTGAAAGTTAATGTTCACCTGAGTTAATGTTTCCACACCTGAGTCACTGGTTTCAGCTACAGTTATAAACAGTCTGCAGGGCTGTGAAATAGGAGCTACATTATCAGAAACAGCTGACAGACAGCAGTATTGCAGAAGAGAGGTTACTTTGGTTAGTGGAATATAAGACTTTTAAATTAGGAGAGAGGGTCACTAATACCTGTGGAATGAAGAGTTCAGAAGAAGCAGTTAGATTTATAATTAGCCATGAAGTTAATTGACTGCCTCACTGCTGCCTGAATAGAAATGCTGGTGCTGCTGTCAGACAGTTGGTTTTAAACTTGGGTAGAGCACAAATCAAAGGAGACTGAAACTGCACCATTGCACCTCCCCTAGATCCATCCCTGCTTAAAGTGGTTTAGTTTTACCCTTAATTTTATACTAAGTTATACAAGTATTCAGATTCATATAAGGTATCCTGAGGTGCAGCTGTATGTCATATATCTGCTTCTTTTATATCTGTGTGAAGGCCAATTACATTGAAGGAGAGGTGCTGTGTAATTATGTTCTTGTACATTCATGTTTTGTTTGAAGAAAGTATTCCAGTTTATGAAGAATCAGTTAATTGAAACAGAAGCATTTTCAATGAATAAATACATTTGTTTCTGTAAAACTCTGTTTTGGGTGTGAAAAAGGAAACTAAAAAGATCAATGAAAACAAAAATAAGCATTGTTACCATCTTCCTGAGGACAGATGGTCAGTTGTGTTAGTCTGAAGTCAGGCAGAAGGCAAGGTGGAAGTGCAACTGAATCAGAAATGCGTAAGTTTTTGTGAGCCACAGCTTACTTCATTAGATGCATAAGCCAGAATAAGTTATAGCTCCTTTAAAGCACTATGGAAATATTTATACGTGTTCTATTTATAGCTACTTCTCGTTCATTACAATACATATTTAACAGTGGGATTTTATCATCTTGTTCAGCATTTACTTTTAGACATGTTCAAAAATATACCTGTCTGTTTTTGGGGGGGTATTTATGTCTTTGGATTTTAAACCTGTAAGCACCTGCTTCCACAGCCGATAACCAAATTAGTTGCTATGAAAATTATGATGATGTCATATACATAGGATTATGAATCTTGTGTCAGGATAGGGGAGGGAAAAATTAGCATGAACCTATAAAGGCCATTCTACAGCATACTGTTAATAACTAAAACAATTCTAAGAAAAAAATAAAATGCAGAACATATGGTATATAGCATTGTTTCTAAAGGTATTCCATTTTTTAATTAATTTTCAATGTGAATTAATAGTGTGAATGCCAAGAAAATCTCAAATGAAATAATAAATGGAAAATAAAAATGCAAAGCTTTTAGGTTTCTTGGGTTTGGAATCTTTTTTTTTGGTTCCTTCCCAATTTTGAAATTTCAAATTAAGAATACATTCTTCTCACAGTAGCTCTCCAGTCTAATATTGTACTTTCCCTGTAGTCTTATTAACACTGGTGAAAATTCTGTGAAATAAAGAAAGCAGATATAGAAGCTTATGTCCACTAGCCATGAAAACAAAAGTGCACCTGGGACTTAGATCATTAAACAGATGTAAACCTACCTGGAGCCCAGTTTAAATATCTGAATGGATCCCCACCAATCCATTGCCATCCACTATCATCATTCACACTGTTAAGTCCAATCCAGATTTCAGTATTCAGATCACTAACTTGCCCTAAATAACCAAAAGAAATAAAAAGACAACATATTAGATGGACTTGATTTTGAAGTTACTGAACAAAGTATAAAATAAAACTAAGTTTAAAAACTATCTGTCCTGGACAAAACAGATCTACAAAGTCATCTAGTAATTGCAGGTAGGGATATTGCAATAGCTATTTTTTTTCATGTGGGATAAAATTTTCATTTCAAGACGCATTTTGTTGGAAAAATGACACTTTTTCGCAACTTGCATTTTCAGAAATTGCCCTTAAGATATATGCATGTTGATGTGAAAGCCTTTGAAATTGTCCTGAGCTACACTCAGTAGGTTTCTTTATTATTTTACCTGTTACGTATGTCTGTTCATGCAACTCTGTGATACTTAATAATTCTGCATTCTGTTGCTGACAGCTTTTCCTTGCCTGGTACCATGTTAGAGCTGACCCAGAGTTTATCTGATAGTGGATGCCTGTCAAAGAGCTGGTAGCCCAAAAAAAGTCCTCGGTGGTGTCTGTAAAGCATGATAAAATATTAATGTTAACTGAGAACATAATCATGCCTGTCAACATTTGAAAACAAAACCCCAGTATGGTCTAAATGACATGTATTTGCATACACGGATTCCACTGACTCTTTGTTGCCCTTTATATACGCTCCATACATTCAGCAGATACTGCACAGTTCAACATCCTGCACCTCTCCCAGCTCATTCTACAATTGCCCGCTCGCTGATTCCTCCCGTCTCTGCAGCCTACCCACTAATTCCAAACCTAAAGAATCTCTCGTTCTGCTCATCCAGGCCCTCATTCCTCCTTTATTCTTTCCCAGACCTGCAACTCCTACAGGCTTTATTTGTAAACAAGAGACTTTCAGACCATCACCTATCACTGCAAAAGGAAATCTCAGCTGATTGGCTGCTTTCCTCTGCTTCCTGGGTAGGGCAGCAAATCAGAGATGCTGCACAGGCAGATAGAAAAGCCTAGTGTCCCATCCTTTGTAACAGTCCCCAAGACAGTCCCCAAGAGCCACCTGCCTCTCCTCCCCAAGCAGAGATTGCCCATGAATTAGGTATTGTGTATGGGCATAAATGCTTTTCTGGATTGTGTCCCTTGCTTTAAAATATGTAGTTGTCTGTTACCTTTTTCTGGGCAATATCCATATAAAGAGTCCTCATCAAAGTTTGCAGATGTTGCACACCATGAGAAAACAAAATCAGAGCCATCCTTTGTGCATGTGGCATACAGCTTATTCGTGTACTTAAAAGGGAATACACAGGGTGCCCCAAAGGAATTTCCTAGTAATGTAAATATGTCTATGGAAAGAAGTGGAGAGAGAGCAAAATGTTGCATTGAAAGCACTGTTCACCAAAATGTCTGACCATAAGCAACATTCCCTGGAAATGTAGTTAAGCTAGAGTTGAGGCTACAAGTACATAAAACAATTTTAAAAATTCTTATAAGAATAATGGAATTATCAAGGAGATTTTGTAGGAGGTAAGGAAATTAAAAATTAGCTTCCTCAAACAAATGTATTCTGTCCATCAAAGTATTCACAGCCTCTCATATTTCTGGCTGTTTCTTCTTTTGTCTAGACCTGTAATTTGTGCTGAGGTATAGGGTGGTGCCAAAGCTCCATCCATTTTTGCTCTCTTGTTGGAGGGAGGAGAGGGGTGGAGAAAAGAGGAATAAACAGACAACCGGGCGGGCCCTAAATCTAAGTAGCCTAAGAGAATTGGAGCAAGGGATAGGCTTGTATCTCTCCTTACTTTTTTTGCTTTAATTATAATCTAGCTGTTTAAATATCAATAATATTTACCATTATTTGTAAATATAACCTTAAAATTAAGGTTAAGTCCAGGCATTCAAAAAGCCTGAGGCACAAGTGCTCTAAGTATCATGCTTTACTCAAAAGCATGATACTGCTTTTCAGTATCATGCTTAGTGCCTTAGAGCAGTGAGGGAGTGAACAGACCTGTAGTTTGCCTGGGGGGGAGGGCACAGAAGTGGCCAGCACTGGCCGATGCCAGCAGGCTGGGGTGGTCCCACATGCCTCCCATGAGACTGCCAGGGTTGCCCCTCTCCCCAGCCCCAGCCCCCCATAAGCTTGTGACTGTCAGCAGCAGCTGGGGGAGAAGAGAGGGGAGGAGGGAAAGGGGAAAAGGGAACCTGGCTGCCATTTGAGTCTTGGTGTGGGGTGCAGGGCAGAACAGGGCAGAGCAGGGTTGGGGGCTCCATTCCCCTGCCCTGGTCTCCTGACAGCTGCAGTTCAAACTGTACATGGCTTTTTGCAGTGCCAGGAACTAGGCACTGGGAGGTGAGGGAACAGATTCCCCCTGCCATGCATACCCAGCCCAGCTACCCCAAGGCTGCAAGCTCTGTGGCCCACATGGCAGGGAAGCTTTGTTCTTCCGCTCCCTGCCCCCCAGCCATGCAGGGAGGAGACAGATGTTTTTCTGTCTCCTCTTTGTGACAACCCAGGGCTGGGGCTGGACCTGTGCAGATAAGCATTGGCTGAGGCTAGCACACTGCCCTCTGTAGGACCCTGGGATGCTGGGGCGCTCTGATCTAACTTGAGTTATGATGGTACCTTGTACTGATGCTCGATGAAGCACTCTAATTGAAAGCACTTTAGTCTGTTAGCACATCCATCCACCATTTTTAAAGCGTTCTATGTGCAGTGAATATCTGTTCGGTTATGGCTGTAGAGCGCTTTCTATGATGTGCAGTGAATATCTGTTCGGTTATGGCTGGAGAGCGCTTTCTCTCCGCTTATTGCATGATAAGCATAATGTCTGTGTCTAGCCTAAATTTCTAAAATTCAGACACTATTTCAGGTATAACATTAACTCTCACTTCCCTGGCTTCTAATCGTTGGGGGTTTTTGGTAATTATAACCTTCCTTAAATAATCTTCTTGTTACATTAATGACATAAATCTTCAACTTAACTCCAAGCTTATCCTAGTATTATGCCCAGAAAAAATAGAGGAAGGAGTAAAAGGAACAACAAAGAGAGCCATCAGTTTGTTAATGCCCTCTCTTGCTCTCTATAGGTGACCATAATGCCAAATGTAGCAGGTAAGTCCTCTCCTTCTAGAACAACTTATATTTGCTCATTACATTTCAAAAGGTATGTCTTTGTACAGTAAAGTTTCAGTGTGTGTGATTTTTTTAAATTATGATTTTGATAAAAATCATTCCATTTGATCTTTAAATGTGCTCTCTCCATCTATAGGCATGTGACTGCATTGGGATCATAGACTGAACCATCGTTTCTTTTGTTTTTGTATTTCTGTGCCTGATATACACAGCTAAACAGAAGTATAATTTTCTATAAACAGCAGCCAAATAGGCTAAGTTATATCAACCTTAAGTTACTTAAATACAATATAATACCACGTTTTTTCGCTAAGCTATTTGTTAAGTTGATGTAGAAGTCAAATAATCATTCCCTGTACTGAAAGGAACTCACCATGTGAAACAATTGCAAATGAAATGCACAGTTCAAATGAGGTACACTCATAAGTTCAAAACAAAACAGTCAAGTTTCAGGATTTTACCTTCATAGTGCTGAGAACACAAGCTGTCAGTGGTTCCATAGATTTTCCACATACTCCCGGTACCTGATTCTTTGGATAACCTAATTCTTGTTTCTTTTCCTTTGCCATAGTTGAAAAATAATTCTTCTCCATGGACTGCAAGGCGGCTCTCATTTCTGCAGTTCCACTGTTGAAGTTCATTTGTCCTGTTGCAATGATCCAAGGTGACCATAACTTGGTTTTTCTTGGAAGGCACTGCCACACATAATTTCAATTTCATATTCAGAAGCTGGTGATCAGAGATCCATCTGAATTTTTGTAACTCATTGTTCTGATTGCAAATAGTAGTTATAAGTGAGTTACCATTTTGAGCTTGAACACAGAGCTTATTGTCTTCATTGTGTATTAAAAATACTTCACTATCTGCAAAACAAAATAAGAAACATATTATAATTATATATATTATATGCATTATATATTATATAATAGAATATATAAGTTATATCATATTATATAATAACATTATATATATAGAAGGAGGATTGTAGGTAAGCTAAATATCTGACACAGGGAGAAGGATGGAGCAGATGGTACGGTGCATCATCACAAAAAACAGATTTTTCTCCAGGTTAAAAAAAAAAATTGAAGCTTTACTAATCTACTATGAGTCTAGGATCAGCGGTCCCTCTAAGATAAGTGGTGTGCATGGTCAGGCAGGCGCGCTCATGTGTGATCACGCAGCTTAAAGGGAACGCTGCCTAGGACTACATTATTCAGTTTGAGATCAAAACAAAAACAAACAACTTTTTTGAAACAGGCATGAATTTATCATACATTATGTCCAAGAAACACAGCATACTAGACAAAAACAGTCAAAAGATATTGTTTCTCCTGTAGTCATTAGAATTAAATATACATCTCTTTTTCAGGTTCATAAAACAAAATCTAGCCTCCTTAAGCACCTTGACAGTGCATCCAGTACTTCACTGAAAGTTATTTCCACATCTGAATTAATGTTAACTCAATTTAACATTTCTACTCCTGAGTTAATGTTTTTAGCTAGAGTTAAAAATAGTCTTCAGGGCTATGAAGTAGGAGCTACATTATAAGGAGCAGCTAACAAACAGCAGAATTCCTGAAAGAGGATAGTTTGATAATGGAATATCAAGACCGTTAAATTCAGAGAGAGGACCATTAATATCTGTGGACTTAAGAGTTAGAAGAAATGGGGTAGATTATAATAAGCCACAAAGTCAATCAAGTCCCTCACTGATGCCTGAAAGAACTACAGCTAATACTAGGCAGTTGGTTTTAAAGGAAAGTGAAACTGAGCCACTGCACCCTTGGATCTTCTCCTGTTTATTTGCATAGTTCTAAATGTAAACATTCCTGGAACAGGACCCATAACTTCTAACATGTAGAGACACTTTTGTGCATACTGTTCAAACTTATCAAATAAAAGTAATAATTATGTACTGTGCATGCACATGTGTGTATGGAATAGCAATACAAGAAACTCAATGTAAGGAAAAAGAATATGTGTGTAAGTGTGTGTACTAGTAATGTCAGTAATACAAAATTACAGACAGGGATGGAGCAGGAATTAAGGTGGTTCATGCAACTTGAAAGCTAACCTAGGATTAAGGGAGCCTAATGGGAAATTGTCAGTTACTGAATGGTTTGAGACAATGGAGAGTGCCCATTGGTCTGAATGTGAGGCAAACATCAGCTTTAAGTTCTTACAAGAAAACTGAATGTCTTTGTTTACCAGAGTTTCTCTCCTGCTTCCCCAGGACCTGACAGGAGCTGCATCCAACTCATTCTTCTGCCCCATTGGTACTTTGCTTCCATACAGAATAGATTATTTGGTCAGATCCCTCAGGGGAAGGTGGGATATTAAAGGTAACCAATTCTCATGACCATTAAGGGCTGGTTTGACTGCCAGCTAGGAAGTGGAGGAGAACTGCAGCACACAATCCACACTGACCTAATCACTCTCTGAACATGGCTCAGCAGTACCATGGCTGGAAGAGGATCATTAGAGTCAACTCTGTGTCATCTTCTGCTTCCTGCTAGATCACAAAGCTTTTGTATTACCCAACTGGTGAAAATAACCATTGAATGCCCCCCCCCCCCAATCTTCTCTGGGTCCTCTGCTTACGTTGAGCTTCTCTCTACACACCTCTTCTCCTCAGTTCCAGGGGATGAGAAAAGATTAAAAGGGAATTGCTGTCAGTGCAATTCCCTCTCCTCCTAGCAGGGAAGGAAGCAGAGCTAGCTACAAGCAAGCATCATGCATCTGTGCAGTGGGTGACATCAGATATTTTAATATGGTAGGAATTGCAAGGGTCATTTTGGAATTGATTAAGTTTTCTTGACATACAATTAACTCCCATGGTTAGAAGTTAGTTGTGGCACACTTCTCTGAAAGGCTTAATAAACTTGTTGTGCAGTCACTACATAATCCTGCAATATATCCCTTGGGCCAATACCTTGGACAGAAGCACTACTCTCTAGGACCTCTCCCAATGAAAGTAGTCCTGTCCTCCAAACTTTAGTCCACCTCCATTAGTGGCTGTGTGTTTAGCAACAGCCCCTCAAGCGCTATAGTATCAAAGGCGTCTAAAATATATTAGCTGGGAGGCTCTAACCCCAGAATTTGACCAAATGCACCATTTTATTTTTATATCCTAAACTAAAACTTGATTGCCTGTAATCAAGAAACTAAGGCTCCAAATATCACCAAAGCTGAGTAAACTTGTTTTAGATGAGGGTAAGTTGAGAGAGAAAACCTTAACTAGAGGTTAACTAGAGGTTAACATTCTCATTGCTTTGGTGCCAATGAGAATGTTAAGTTCACTAAAGTATGTGCAAAAAAGAATACATTTGCATTTTCTCGGAAAAGACTGGACAGAGACTTACCTGGCAGTTGAAGAGACGTACTTAGGAAGGAAATAAAAATCAGGAACAGATAGACAGCCATTATAAATGTTTCATTCCTTTTTTCCCTTTGCTTCAGAAAAATGGAGAACAGTCGTTAGTTTCTTTCAAGAAGCCCTTTCAAAAAGCCCTTCGTGCAATGAGCCAAATTAGTAAGCCCTCCTCAGTTATAAAGATTTAATAGATATAGGAAGTTCTGGCTTTAAATAAGGAACTATATCTTGTCACATGAGTCATTTTGAAACCGTACATTTTATGGATTAACTTTGCTTTCCTAAGCTAATTTCTGTGAAGAAGTCCCATCTTTTAGAAAAAAAGACAGAGAGGAACTAATTATTACATTTCAACAGGGCTCTCTGGGAACAGGTTTTGATGCAGAAGAATCATCATTGTTAGGATTACCGTATCAATCAGTATTCCAGAGAGCATAGATCCTTATAAATACAAGGAAAGAAAGAAACCACATGTACTAAAGATGAGGCTGTAAATGCAAATGATTAATTTAAAAGAGAAGGACTAGTGCAAAAGGAAATGGAAATCAAAGTTCAAGTCAATATGACCCTGGAAATAGCAACCCCTCAGATCCATATAGGAGGAATCTGGGAAAGCAGCTACCCCCCAGCACATGGAATGCCGCCCCCCCCCGGGTCCCCGCTCCCCCCTGGAGGGCCCCAGCCCCCCTGCCCAGGGCCCATAACTAACCTTGAACAGCAGCAGCGGGGGGACCATGTGCTGAGCCCAGCCTGGTTCTGCCAGCCCTGGGGCAGCTCTTGCCGCCCAGCCAGGCTGGTCCTGTGGCAGCAGGACCTGGTGGGGCACGTAGGGACCATGTGCCAGGCCCAGCTGGGTCCTGGGCCCCCTCTGCAGCCAGGCCAGGCTGGGTCCATGGGGACAGGACCCAGTGTGGCATGCGGGGACCGCGTGCCAGGCCCAGCTGGGTCCTGGGCCCCCTCTGCAGCCCAGCTAGGCTGGGCCCAGATCCCTGACGTTCACTAGTCTGGGTTTGCACTGAAGTGGGTCGCACAGCTCCAGGAGGCACGCACAGGAGCCCTGTGACCCGCTCTGGTGCAAGGCCGGACTACCGAGCCACATGGAGCTGGGCCAGATCTTCACCCCCCTGCAGGCACAGACAGCAGAGGCGGGAGCCAGGTCTGGGGCCCAGCCCATGCTGACAGGAGCCGGCACGGCATGCGGTTCCCACGTGTTGTGCCGGGTTCTGCCACAGCCGGGCCCATCCTATAGCTGCAGGACCTGGCCCGGCGCACGGGGACCGCGCAAAGCCAAGCCGGGTCCTGCCAGCCTTGGGGTTGCTCGTGCCACCCGGCTGCCAGGGGTTTGAGGTGGGGCAACAGGTACGTTTGCGCTCATCTGGACGTGCCCAGTAAATCTTCCCTGAAAAATCTCTTGGGCAGATTTTCTGAATCATGCAAGAGCTTCAGGAGATAATTAGTCTTGAGAGGGCTGGGATCACGTACCAAGGGGTGAAAGAACCAATATCTGACATCACTCTAGAGCAGGGCCATCCCTAGGCAAATTGGGGGTGACTGCCCCAGGCCCTGTGCTTTGAGGTACCCTGCAGAGTTGGGTGAAGCAGCTGCAGCCCCTCCTACAGGTGCTGGCAACTACACCCTGCACCACGGAAGAAGCACGGAGACCACCCCCCGGGCACGTGGGAGACCCCAGCCTGTGCCCTGCCTTTGTGGGGAGTCCCATGGGCCCTGTGCAGTGTTAAGGGGACCCTACACAGGCTGATTTACCTGGGGCCTTGCACCCCCCGAGGGTCATCCCTGCTCTGGAGGATAAATCTGTTGGTGTTGCTGACAGTTTTTGCTACAGTCAGCAGAAATCTTGACCATCAGACTGAACTGGCCAACAGAATCAGAAAACCAGCTAAGAATTTTGGGCTATTACAAAAAAGTGCGTGGAACAGCAGCAAACTATCAGCTAAGGTAAAGATGTGAATCTATGAGACATGTACTGTTATCCCTGCCTTATGTGGTTCAGAAACACGGCCCACATATACTAGGCATATCAAGATACTGAACAGCTTCTACTTGAGCTGTCTGAGTAAGTTGTGGAGGGTAAAGTGGCAAGGCAGAATACCAAACACAGAGGTACTGGAGCATACAGGACTGAGACACTTAGAAACCATTATCAAGGAGAAAAGGTTGTGATGCATCAGTCATGTTAGAAGAATGGGAGAAAACTATTACCGAGAATATTTTGTATAGTGAGATTCAAGACAGCTCTAGAAAACAGTGCAATGTGTGTAAAAACTATATGAAATCCTTCAACAGCAATGTAGAAACTGGGAGAAGCATGGAGAAATCCACCCAATCTGGAGGGAACATCTGGCACTGGGTGCAGTTCAACATGAAGTGGCTTTGATCCAGAGGATGGAAGCAAAGTGAAAAAAGAAAGCAGCATGATGTAAATTTGTTGGACTCCAACTTAGACAACATATGGATCTGTGAAACCTGTAACAAGACATGTCACTCTCGTCAGCCACAAAGGCATTAATCAGGCAGTTGACTAGAACTCTTATGTGTACACCATTATCCAGAGAATCCACAGTTGCCTACCTAATGGTGCCAAACTTGATCAATTTGGGAAAAGGTCATGTGTATCAAGGACATCTTTTGTTTTTCTTAATGAAAATTCACCCTGGTCTAGTCAAATAATAAACTATACTTAGTAGTGAACTCTCAGTGCTTCACAACTGAACTCCCCCAAGATAGTTTGCAGTAAGTATGCCACCTGCAAGTACAAAGTGGAACATTTTCAGAAATCTGTTACTAATGCAAACCAGGATGACACTGAGCTCCTTAGTTGAGTTCAGGGAGCCTGTATCTTTAGCACTGACTAAAATGCAGAAAGGACAAGAACTAGAGCTAGTGCAGTGGACTAGAATGGGATAAGAAGTTGGGGAACAAGTACAAAGAGTGGAATAGTAGGGCAAGCAGAGAGACAAAGGGAATCAAGACTGGGAAGTAGGAGAGAGAGAGTCTTGGGTTGGCTGGGCCGGATGTTTGGAAACCAGGGGTGGTGAGAAAAGACTAGATTTGGCTGGACAAAGAAATGAGACAGGAAACATGGAAGATCTAGTTGCAAAGTAGTATGTGATCATCCAATTAAAGACTATTATTATGCACAAGTACAAGACAAACAAATTAATACTGAATTTGCTGGCATTTTAGCACTCATCCTTAATTTTTTTTTTCAGGGGAAGAAGGGGTGAATATTATGTGAAATTTAATTTTGATTCTGTGAAATCCATCAGCTCTGATACTAGCTTCAAGCACAAGCCCTGACGCTTGGTTTTTAGAACAGGGGCAAAGCCATCAGAAAGTACACCATGGGTAGGTGGAAAGCAAGACAGGGAGGAAATGAGGAAACCTGAGGTTGAGGGAGCATAGAGCCTGTGCTATTGCTCCCATTCCTGGTAGTTCCTACCATCTCCAGAATACCAGAAATTAGCAGGAGGAGGCTCATGGTGATGGAACATACATCAGCCTAGTTGAAAAAGAGAAATTGAATTTATTCTGAAAAGAGTTAGTTTTAGGGCAATTACTTGTTAATTATAACCTACAAAGAAAGGCTCATGAAGCAAAAATGGAAATATTAGGCTGTGACTCATGCCAGGACCTACACTAGATTTTGCCAGAACAAACCCACCATTAGGAAGTGAGAAAGCCGAGAAGTGGCAAAGATGCAGCCTAAGCTTCTCTTCCATTATGAAAGGAGGGTTGTGAAAGCTTGAATTACAGATAAGACAATCATGAAAAACTATCATCCTTGACTGCGAGCAACTGCCAAAGAAAAGCTTGAATCCGGTTGGAAAAAGGGGTCAATGAAGATTGTGATGACTCAGTATGTTCCTTCAGCTATCTGTCTATAGTCACAAATTCTTTATACTCTCAGTACTCAGTTTCATCACCTTTTCTCTGAAAACTGAACACATCTGGAGAAAAAGAGGAAATGAAAAGTAAATATAGATTATTAAGAAGTGTGGCAACATGTTAGTATAGGAACATGCTCATGCAATTGCAAGTTGTTACCAACAGCTTCCACAAAATAAGTTGATGATAGTGCCAGATCAGGTTCTAGGGGAGAACTTCCTACACAAAGGCCTGAACAACAGTACTGACACCGTTGTTCATAGCCCTGAAGAGCAGAGGGACTTTATGATTATCTAGTATAACCTCTTCCCAGTCATCAGATTTCAGCCTGTATCTCCTGTGGCAAGTTTAACAGCTTGTGACTGAACAGAGCGTGTTCTATAAAAAGATACCCTTAAAATCTCAGCCAAAACACCCTTCACTTGTAAAGCTTTATCCCTTTAGCCAATGCATTCAAGACAGGGTCAAACTGCATTGACAGAGCAATTTAAGGTGGTTTACATTGTTGCATTACATATTGGATGAGTTCTCTATGAAAACCGATAATCTGTATCTACCTGAACAGTTTAATCCAGCTTTTTTCACAATCACTAACCCAGAAAGATGATTTAAAAACTGAGTGGAGTGCCTCCACATTACACAGTAGGAATTCTACGTGGAATGTTTATAAAGTCAAAGTTAAGAACACTATTTTTCCCCTCTGATTGTATTAACCTGCCCATACCACTAAGGACTAAGACCAAAAATTCTAATGAATCCAGGGGACTATTGAAATGAACTATTTGTATTTGATTAAAACCCACGAAGTTGCTTCTCTGGCCTTGTCTTCACTAGGCTGCTTCTGGGCCGGAATTTCTAGGGGCAGACAGAAGCCACCACAGGGAAACCACTGCAGATCATGACACTCCGCAAGCTGTCAGAAGGTAGAGGCAGGACTACGAATGTCTTCTGTGTACTTCTGGCTGGCAACAAAAGCCATCTTTCACGCAGACAAGCCATGTTGCTCTGGCAGCAGAAAGAATGGACCCTGATGCCCTGGAAGAGCAGAAAGTAAGGATCTACTCACAGTTTTGCTGGTAGTGTAGACATGGATCTAATCCTGTTGTTTCATTTTTTTCACTGAGTGATATTTTTTTCCAGCAAGAACTTTTCTGAAAATCTGAAGTTTCAGACACCGATGTGACTGTGTAAATACACAAAGGTTCACATAGGCATTCAATCTACAATTTTATATGTTTGTTATCCAATCGGGAAACAAAAATAATAGCATGATTTTAAGGCAACCAATCACAGTGGAAATAACAGATATTCAGCTGAAGGAATAAGTTCAATCTATAGCAGGGATGGACAAGATCCAGCCCACAACAGGTTCCTCTGCCCAACCTGGCACAGGCACAGGGAGCGCTTTGGGCTATGGGCTATGCAGCTGATCCCACTGCCTTAACTTTCTGCCAGCCCCACTGGCAGTGGCTCCTGACTGCTGCTGCCAGTATCACTACCACCACTGGACCCAGCCCCACTGCCTGGGCACCTCAACCCATGCACCTTATACCCACTGCTGGAGGTGCTGGACAGAACAGGTGGGCAGGGTCTCTGTGGTGACAAAGCCAGAATGCACTCGATGGGGCAGATGGGATGGGGCTGCAAGTGGGTGGGGAGTGCCGTCCAGGAGCGGGATGGGCAGTGACAACATGGGTCCGTGCAAAGGGCACCAGTTCCATGAGTAGGGATGTGCAAGGAGAGGATCATGGTACTGCCTCTCCCCTCCCCTCCGGCCCACAGCAGCTCACCAAAACTCCCAAAGTGACCCTCCAACCCAAATAATTGCTCACCCCTGATCTATAGCTTGGTGGTAAATCATGGATCAAAATATGTTCCTAACTAATCTTAAGTAACAAATGTATAAAGGATTAACATGTAGCTGAAGAAGTCGCAAACAGAAATATGAACTAAATTCAAAATAAACAAACATGTATACTTAGTGATATAAATAATACTGAAAATATCATGCTATTTTATGTGATCCAAAAACTGATGCTGAACTTTTGGATGTCAAAGATAGCTAACAATGCGCTTTTCATGGGCGCTTAGGTTAAAACCCCTAATTCTGAGGAAAGAAATGGGACATACGTGCTGAATAGACCTTTTGTTGGCCATTTTCACAAAGGTGAATTTCACTGAGGAAACTATAACCAAGTATTTGAATGAGAAGATTTTCTGGTGTCTATCTGATATTTATTCAGTGGCTAGGCACAATGAAATCCAGATTCTGATCAGTGCCTCTGGACACTACTACTTCTACTAAATATGGCCTTGTTTCTTCTTTTGCCCTTACCAACTTTTTCAGTTGGGTTCTGGACATGTCATCTTTTGAGAGCAGACCTCCTCTTCATGTCAGAATCTGTTAACTCAATGGAAAGATGCTTTCTTTGCATTTGTCTTCATGATGGAAGATGTTAGAGAGATTTCAGTCTAGGGACAATTCTGTGGAACTGAACAAAAGTGAGGTTTCAAAAGATGAGGTCATATTGGAAATCAATAAACTAAACAGTAGCAAATTATCAGGACCTGATGGAATTCATCCTAGGGTCCTAAAAGAGCTCAGACTGGAAACAACCACACTCCTAACTGTAGTATGCAACCTATCATTAAAAACAGCATTAGTGCAAGAGAACTGGAGGGTTGCCAATGTGACTGATATTTTAAAAGAGCTCTTGAGAGGATCTAGGGAACTACAGGCCAGTGAGTGTAACTTCTGTTCCTGGAAAGAAACAAGAAGAAAAATAATTGCTCATCACATGAATGAACATGCCTTGCTGGAGAGGAATCAGCATGTGTTTTATTAAAGGGAAATCACACTTCCAGAATTTATTAGAGTTTTCTGAGGGTATCAATAAGCAAATGGATCAGTGTGCTCCAGTTGACATAGTACATCTGAACTTCCAAAAAGTCTTTGACAAGGTTCCTCATCAAAAGTTTTTATTGAAGTTAAGTAGTCAAGGGATTACAGGGAAGTTTCACTCATGGATTAGAAATTAAGGATGAAAAACAAAGAATTAATATAAACGGCCAGTTTTCAGAAAGGAAAGAAGTAAACAGTAGGGTCCTCTAAGAATCTGTGTCAGGTCTGGTTCTGTTTAACCTACTCATAAATAATCTGGAAAAGCAGCTAAGTAGTGAGGTGGCCTAATTTGTGGATGACACAAAATTATTCAAGGTGATAAAGACCAAGGCAGACTAAGGAACTGCAGAAGAATATTTCACTTAATGAATGGACAACAAATGCCATATGAAAATCAGGTGATAAGTGTGAATTGATACATTTGGGCCTACATTTTATAGGCTCTACATTAACTGTTGCCACAAAGGAAAAAGAGATCTGGAAGTCATTGTGGATAGGTCACTAGAAACATCAACTCAGCACTCAGTTGCCATCAAAAAAGCAAACAACATTTTAGAAATTAAGAAGGGAATTGGAAACAAAACAGAAAATATCATTATGCCCCTTTATAAACCCATGGCGCATCCATACCTTGAACACTGTGCCCAATTTTGGTCCCCGCACCTCAAAAAGGATATAGAAGAACACAAGAGCCCCTGGGCAGGGGGCTGGACCTGATGATCTTACAAGGTCCCTTCCAGCCCTAATGTCTATGAAATCTATGAAGAAAGTCAGCAAGGGTGATTAGTGATATGGAGGAGCTTCCATATAACGAGAGAATAAAGAGGCTAGGTCTATTCAGTTTAGAAAAGCAATGTTTGAGGAGGGACATAGTAAGAGTTTACAAAATACTAAATGGTGAAAAGAAAATAAATGGGGATTTATTATTTACTCTCTCATATAGGGGCAGCACAAGCTTCTTCCCAGTGGGTGGGCGGGACCAGGGCTGGTCTTGGGTGTGGCTTGGGGGGGCTATAGCCCCTCCATAGCCACCCCTCCCAGCACCACCGCCACCCGCCCATGCTGCACAACAGAGCCTGCCCCACTCCCACCTGCTCCGAGCCCAGTCCCAGTCTAGCCACCCCCACTGGGAAGAGGCTGGCATCACCCCTGCTGGGACCATTTGCAGGCTTATCTGCACAGGGCCAGTGGGTTAGGAAACCTGTGCTGGGCGGGTGGATGGGTGGTGGCAGTAGTGGTGCTGGGAGGGGTGGCTATGCGGGGGAGCTAAGGCAAATTTTGGGATGGCTACAGCCTCCCCAATCTTCCCCCACAACCACCCCGGTTCTCTCACAATCTAAAAACTAGGGGGTTATCAAATTAAACTAGTAGGCAGGAACCTTAAAATGAGCAAAAGAAAGTTCTTTTTCACACAGCATGCAATTAAAGTGTGGAATGCATTGCCACAAGATGTTGTGGAAGCTTGCAGTTTAGCCAGATTCAAAAAGGGACAAATTCTTGTAGGAAAGGGACATCAGTAGCTATTAAATATGGGAGATAGGGATACAGCCTCCAGATTGGAACTTTCTGGACCTTAAATGCTGGGGGCTACAAGTAGAGCAGAAAGGGAAAATCTTTGGTCATACCCTGTTCACTCTCCCTCTTAGCATACACAGTCTGCCACTGTGTGACACAGGATATTGTGCAAGATGGAACTAAACCCTGACCCAGCAAATGGCAGTTCTTATGTTATAACAATTCCTGTTTACATCTGCAAATTTATTTTTGCAAATTCCAGAATCTCTCTGTTCTATAAGAAAGACACACTACTTAAAAGTAAAAGAAGTTGAAACACCATATGACCAAAGAGTACTGCTACAAACACATCAACTGGCCATAACACTGAATGGTTCCTGAGATTCATCCAGTACACCATAAGATTCACAACAAAGATAAAATATGAATAGAACACATAGTTGGCATGGCTCCATATCAATATCATATAATGTCATTTTTCCTTCTAGGTTGAAAGTGACAGTGTAAGTGTACAGGCATTCGCTCTCCCCTGGGTTGAAGATGAGTTCTTTTTCTCCAAGAACCAGCATTTTGCTCTTACAGAAAGTGAACATTTTGAATGTTCAAGATTTCTACTGGAAGAGAGTGATGATTCTCCCAGTAGAAGCATAATACCTGTACCTGGCCATTGAGTTTTACATACAATTCTATAAACATGCAAAACTGATAAAATTACAATCTATTATTGTTTATTTCACAGAACAAAAATTGAATGCATGTATAATTTTTTTTTCATTTTCCTTTTACACTTTCATATCTGGCCAAGGAAAATATGTTAATTCCCACATGATTTACATTTTACAAGATTTACAAAAAAATCAGATTATAAAAACTCATATGAGATGCTAAGATTTCCAAACTGTTCACTGTTTAAATATACAAAGATGGAAGCTAAATTATTTGAGTAAAAAGTATGTCTGGTGTATTAACAAAATTAAAGTATTCTTTCTTTTATGAGACTAAATTGTGTTAGAGAAAACAGACAGAGACAGAGAGACACACACATGCACACATAGAGGGAAATAGAGTGTGTGAATGAGAGAGAGTATCTCTACATCACAGTATCTTGCAAGAAGCACAGTGAGATAACTGCACACCCCCATTACAGCCATAGGATATATATGGCCACTGTTCTTTACCCAGCAACAGCTACTCTGGTACACAGAAACATGTTGCCATGGCCTCACTATCATTGCCTCACCCACACAAACCCACTTAGTGGTCATTAGCAAAGCTAATAGGGCATGCCACGCACACCCTTTCCACACTCTGGTGAGCACATGCACTACAGCTGAGAACTCTGAAACCTATTATAGGAACTGAAACAATATAGCAGTGAGGGCCTTGTTACACCTTACACTGAACTGCACTAATGCTGATTGTGCTGGTGCTAGCTTGAGTCACACTTCAGGCCAGCAGGGCTCTGGAGGACTGAAAGGTAAGGTAAACCCTTGGGGTTCCCATGACCCCACCACCTGCTTACTTGTAGCTGTCCACACTCTCTGTCCCAGGGCAACAGGTTAACCTGCCTGCCTAGCTGGCTGCCACCCTGCTGCTCTTCTGGCCCAGAGAGCAGCAGCTGTGGCTCGGCAGGAAGATTAACCCTTCCCTGTCTGCTCCCCCAGGACAGACAGTGAAGACAACCACGGGTAAAGTGAGGGCCAGCAGGGGGGTGGGGTAGGTGGTATGGTCACACTAAGAATGGCTACACCTTAGTGTAACATGAGCTGGGTAATACAGATCAGAGATAATGTTGCCCTGGAGTGACATAACTTTGAGCTGCCTAGTGAATGCTTAAAACTAGTTTTAGGTGTTAATAGGTGGACAATCGAAGGGTTAAGAGCTCCAGGAGCCTCCCAAAATTACCATGTAACAAGACCCTGAGGCTGTTTCTTTGGTTTTGTTTTTCAAACAGATTGTATTTAAATACGACCCCATCAATTAACAAATGTCAAAGCCTGTAGTGAGGTTTCCAGGAATATTTGCAAGATATTAGAATCAGGCAGGTTCTTTACAGAGCAATTTTGAATGACATGGGCAGGACAGACTTTATGGCTGATGGTTATATATGTCTGATGGATGATACAGGTCTGGTAAAATCTTGAAGACTTACTCTCATTGGCCACATATACATTTTAAATTCTGTTAAGTGCATCTGTTTGTTTCATTTAATAACTCAGCAGCACTTTATCTTTTCACAAGACCTGCTTTTGTTTGGCTACATCTGGAATCTTACACAAATATAACATGATTATGAAACAAAGAAACTGCAGATGCTATGTAAAAAGAATACAGAGCCAAAAAACCTGACTACTATAATATTTGCTCAGCAGAAAATAGCTTTGGCTTAATTCCAGTTGCACAGTTTTATTAAAACAAGGCACATCTTTATTTTATTACACTAGAGAGCAACATGTTCATTCTGTTCAATATTGGTCACAAGGTCCTTTGTGTCACTAGTCCCAGGAACCGTTTCACTATTAAAATACAAGTTGTTCTCAAAGCTGTCATTTGTTGATAGGTGGTTGTTTCTCTTCCTGTAGAAGAAATAGCCTGCAAGGCCAGCTCCTAATAGGATAAGAATCACCACAATAGCTACAATCCCAGCAGAGTTGTGAGAAGGTGCATGAACCTCATTCCTCATGTCGTTCTCTTTTTTTACTGCTGTAAATAATGCAAAACAATTAGTACAAAGCAAGACTATGCTAAATATTATCATATCCTTAGCAAAAATAATCCTACCATTAGGAAACAGTAATTGTTCATGCACAAATGCTTTTTCAGTTCCAAATAATTGCTGACTAAACAAGCAGGCAGCAGTACCACATGCATATATGAAGCAAACAGTTTTAAAAGCTTAACACAAAATAAAATGCAATTTCAGAGATGACTACATTTGGACATAAAAAGGATACAGATATTTTGATAGAAAAACCAGCTGATAATGATTTAACACATCAACATTAAAATTGTGTCCCATAAAAAATAGAATTTGATATCATTTACTTATATTCTTATTTGGGCTTTTCCTTCATTTACTTAAGAGAAAATATTCTTACCCTTTTGGTCTGGTGGCTTCTCTGTTGCTTTCATTTCAACAACTTGGAAACAGAAGAAAAAAGCAGGTGTTTATAGAAGTCTTTGGTATACTCTGAGCATTGTACATTAATGCAAACCAATGCATATATTTAAAATAACTCTCTTGTTTTTGCCTGTACTGAGCCAGGTAAATCTATGGTGTTATATAAAGAAAAAACTACATTTTACTAGTACATGCATATGATTAATCTAAAGTAGATTCAAGACTTACAATGATTCTGAAATGTACAAACATCCTTGCCTTAAGCTCCATGCTCTTTTAGACTCCTGTGTTCTATGGAAGTCTGTACATACACAGCAGTTTGGTATGTAAAGCAGCTTGTAGGTGTGAGACCCACTACTGAGCATAATAATTGCTTCTCTTATAAATCACAGAAAACAGACAACCTGGTAGACATATTTGGCTCCTGAGTGAGATTAGTATTTGTCATAACAGTGGAAAAATGTGAGATAAGAAATGTCTACGTTTACTAAATGAAATTAAAGTTTATACATGGAACATTAAGTTTTCCAAAGTTCTGGGTAGCTTTGGTAAAAACACTATGAATCAATCAAAGGAAAATATTCCATTTGAAGCCTCATCAAAGAGAAAAATCAAATTTAACATGCTTCCATAATCATGGCACACAAAAATAAGTTCAGTGTCCCATTTTCAAACTTTTTAAATGTGTCATCTTATATTCATTGTATGCATTTGCTCTTGGCTGTAAAACGGGAGACTGTTACAGCCTTGAAATTTCAACTCACTCACCTACAACATAAGTAAGTCCATCACACACCATTTGTATGTTCATCATCAATCACCAGGTTAAAAGACCGATAAGTGGACTTTGAGTGGGCCATTACACTTTACTGGAGAATCTTGCAAGGCTTTTGCTGACTCAGATCACTGTGCCCTTGAGAGTAGATTTCTAGCAAGGGAAGTGAGATTTTCGGAACTTCTATTCTTATGAAAGAACTATGCATACTTGAAATACTGAATGCATTTCACCAAATACAGCATGACTTTTTTACACACATTTTTTCTGACTTTTTCTGATTTTGTTCATTCAGTTATTTCAGGAATATTCTAAATCTTGAAACTTAAAACAAGTTGTTATTGGCTCCTCCTCTCACTAATCACCACACCTTAAAATGTTCCAGGAAAGAATAGCTCTACAATGCAAAGAAATGTAGCCTGAGTAAGTAGGAAATATCATTTTCAGAGAAAAAGACGGGGAGAGACAGGGACAAGAGAAAGGAGAGAAATGAAAAGCTCACTTTAGGGTAAGATATAGGTGCCTCTGAGGACAAATTTTCAGGAATTTAAGATTCTGTTCTAGATGCAAAAATGCAATTTTAGCAAGGTGCCTGCAACTGAATACATAATTGATGAGCCTGCATAGATCATTTGGTAAGTTAAAATGAAAAAGACTAGTTAAGGTATACTATAGTTACTTTCTCCTCCATCTCTGCTGTCCCTCCTTTCCTGTTCCCCTGCCCCACGTCCTCCCTTTCCCTTCCCCTGCTCTGCCCTGCAGGCTCCATCCCTGCTTTAGCCTAGGACACTGAGTACAGCCCTAACCCCACCTCCACAGCAGCCATGAACATTGCCCACTACTGCTACAGGCTGGGTTGGGGCCATGCTCAGTGCCCCAGGCTGCAGAATGCACCCAGCCTGCCAATGTGGTACAAAGATAAGAGAGGGAGGGAAAGGGGCAAGCAAGGGAACAGAGGCTGAAGAGAGAGGAGGAGGGGGAAGAGGCTGTAGTGGATGTGGTGGGGGAGAGATGGCAGGGTGCAGAGGTAGTGGAGGGGTGAGGGAAGCAGGCAGCAGCTACAGCTATGGCCCTGACCCCCGGCAGAGGCTGGAACCCAAGCCACAACTGCCACCTGCTCCCACTGTCATTGTATTCAATTCTTAGATAAGGTGTTTCTCCCCTCCCACATTAAATAAGAGAGGTTCATCTTAGAACTAAGTAAATGCAGTATTCATTCAATATGTCCACCCATGTCAAAAAACACATTAGGCATCCTTTAAATAAAAAGACATCTCTTTTTTGATGTTACCCTCTCTTTCTCTTGCTGGTGCTATGCATGTCAGTTATATGTTGTTTATAAACCATAGAGAAGATCTATCACAACTGTAAACTCTATGGCCAATATCTACTAGTAGTATGCATGCTGTAAGCATTACATACTACGAACTCCAGTAAGCATAAAGCAAATCCATAAACCCATCACTTACTTTTGGATCTTTTACAAATGTATCCTTTATAGGAAGAGCAATAAATATTATTCCAGAGCCCAGAGTTTGCATACATTTCAACACAGTGCTCATTTTGTTGGCTTGAAGGTTCTCCTACATTCCAGTTGACAAAATCCACTGCAGTGTTGTCTAACCACAACCACTGACCTAATTAAAAACATATTTAATATGAAAAAAGATTAGCATTTAAGTGTACCCTACTGAAGTAATTAAACATTCAGAGGCATCTCAGAGTGTGTTCTAGGTTTCTCCAATTCAATGATTATCAACCTTTTTTAAAAACTGAAGGCACCCTAGAATAGACTTGAGGCATCCCTCAGAAAATGCCAGCAGCTAGTTTTAATTATTTTTTGAGTACAGAAAAAATAGAGCAGTTTTTCTGTTGCAAAGAGCTCAAGAGCCACAATTATGGATTTTTATTTGAAATATCTCGGTTTATCTTGTGAATCATGCTTGTAAACCTAACAGTACTAGCATTGTGTGGCACCCCACAGCACCTAGAAAGGAACTCAAGGCTGTGACACTTTGGTTGGGAATCACTGCTCTACATTTTGAAAAATAGCAGAAAGCTGAATTAGACATCCAAAGGTCTCATATCTCCAAAATACCCTGGTTTCCATACTTGGCAGAAAAGACCACATTCAAGAAAAATCCCCCCACGATACCTTCCATGTTGTATTCTTGCTTTATTTAATATGACAACTGTGATGATAACCGGTGGAAAGAAATAATTTATCTTTTTTAAAGTGTCCTTTGTCTTTGTCATTTGTAGCTGTATTTTGGATTTGGTTATTTTTTCACAAATGCTAAATAATCTCCTTTGCCTCCATTATTTACTGCATTTGATATAGGTTTGGTCTTTCTGGCTTCTATTTCCACTTCTGGAAAGATGTCTATTTTAATAAACCTTTTGTTATTTAAAAATTCTGGAACTTCGTGTTCATGTGTCTTCCTATTTCTTTTGTTTGTTTGATTGCTTAAGGATCCATGGGTCTCTCGTGACTAAAGTTATGCTTAAAAAACTTCCATGTTGAGTGTAAATATTTCCTTCCATTTGATTTTATAGCTTCCCCATTTCTTTGAGATTCTCTCCCGTACTCTGTGCCCACTGCACTACATTTTGATATAACTACTTCCTTGAAGATATAAAATTTACTTCTACAGTAGGTACAATTTAAAGGTAAGTAGAGCTACTTAATGAACCAGGTCCTGTGCCAAATATCTAGTCACTTTGATAAATAATGGTTTAAGAGGTCAAGTAACTGCTTCCATAATCAGTGACTTGACTCATAAGCAGTTCCAATACTCACCATTGGCAATGGACATATTTACAACCCATTATTCATCAAGATACACTGGTCTGCTACAACATGGAACACTTTCGTTTTTTTCTGGCCAAGAGTCAAGCAACACAGGGATTTCAAAGATATAGCGCACCAGAGGGTCCAGCCCACAGTGCCCATTTTCTGGCCCCTGGTGTTGCCCTTGGGTCTGGAGTAGACCCACACACAGCATGTGTCAAACTGACCCCATGCACCCCCTGCCACTTCAGGACATGGACTGCATGTAGTGCTCCTTTCCAGCTGCTCCGTAACACATACTGCCCATGGCACCTGCCCTAACTACTGCAGGATGCATGCTGCACACAGTGCCTGCTCTGACTGTTTTGAGACCTGCATTGCAAGCAGCACCCCTCCCCACAAACACTCCAGGGTGGGTGCACACATGCAGCAAGGGTCCTGGAACAGCCAGAGAGGATGCCACAAGTGGTACATGTCCCAGATCAACTGGGGCAGGTGTTGTATGCACTGGATCTCCCATGATTGGGGAGGGAGTGGGAACTCTGTGGGCCTGGCCACATATCATTCATATCCAGCCTGTGGACCGGTCCCACAACACTCATCCATACTGCGAGGCCAAATGAATTTTACACTCCTGGGTTATTCCAATTATACTAGTATATTAGTACTATTATACATATATACATACATACATACATACATACACACACACATATATATATATATCTCCAGCTGATAAGAAGTATGAAATAAAATAGAAACTGATAAGTATGAAATAGAAAGATATATATATCCAGCTGATAAAAGTAGATAGATAGATAGATAGATAGATTAACTGACTAGCTATCTTTCTTATCAGCTGGAATCTATCTATCTATCTATCTATCTATCTATAGATTCCAGCTGATAAGAAGACTACTATACTAGTATAAGCCTATATTTATATATTTATAATAATATATGTAGATTCTATAGTCATCTCCATTCTAAAATTTTATCTTATTCAACTCCATAGAATATTTATTAGCTACAGAGGGAGAAAGAGGGAGAAGCAGCATTGGGGGAGAGACTGGGGGCTGTGATAGAAGAGTGGTTGGGCATGCAGAGGCAGCAGGGGGCAGGCAACTGCTGCAGCTCCATCTCCAGCTCTAACCCCTGTCCAGCCCCTCCTTATGCTTGATTCTAAGGTGAGGGGCTTCCTCTCCCACCATGTTAAAAGGGGGGTGGGGGAGATCATCTTCTAATCATGTAAATCTACCTTCCCTGTATTATTTATCAACCAGATATATTTAGATGCAGTATTCCATTGATTTTTTTGTCATTTTGCCATGATTCAGTTATATGTATATGTATAGGTAACAGAATCAGTTTCCTAAATATTTTAATGGAAAGTGCTGTTTTAACTGAAGTCCAAACACTGTTAAATGTTGTGAATAGTTTAAAAAATGTTCAAGCATCACTTTGTAGCATTTTCAGAACTGAAAAATTTGAATATTTTTGCTGCAAAAAAATTATAAAATTAAATTAAATGCTTTTTTTTTAATTCATAAATTAGAGACAAAACCTTTTTGATGCTCCACAACAAAAATATTTCAGAATTTCATTCCATGGAAAACGTTATATTTGCTTCATTCCATCTGGAATGGCAGAAATTTTGAAACTGGAGAATTTTTTAATGTAAGAAGTGCCATACCAGGGCCGATATATGGTCCATCTAACCCAGTGTCCTGTCTCTGATAGCAGCAAATAATAGATATCTTAGAGGCAGGGTATATAAATGGGGCATGCCTAGAGTAACTGTCATATCCTTCTTGGTATCAACCATCATTAGTTTATGCATGTCAGAGGACACATCCCTAACTGCTCTTTATAATAGCTGTCAATGAACCTGCCCTCCATGATTCTGCCTAATTCTTTTTTGAACCTGGTTATACTTTCTGCTTCTACAACCTCTTGCGGCAATGAGTTCCACAAGTGAACTACACACTGTGTAAATAAGCATTCTCTTATTTATTTTAATTCTACCTCCTGATCATTTCAGTAGTCCTAGTATCCTGGGAGCTGGTGAATAACAGCTCTCTAACATTTACTTTGTCCACACTTGATTTTCCATAACACAGAAAATCTGGTTGCAACTCAACTCTAGTTATAAATTAAAATCAATTCCCATTCTCAAGAATGCTCTGACTGCTCTTCTATTTTTCTTCTATACTTTTTGCGTTGCAAGTTTTTATCTTTAGTAGTGCATATATTTTTATTCAGCACCTTTGTCTGATGCCCTGTTAATATTCGTGAATTTCTCTCTATGATCTCATTCTTTCTTTCACAGTCTGATTGTAATTTCCGCCATATCCTTTGCTGGAAACTGAGATAAATCTTTTTGATTATTAACAACCCTTTGAGTTGTTAACAGAGATCTTTGAGTCTCTCTCAGGACTTTAAATTTTCCTCACCTTCTATTTCAAGTAATACTCTCTCTCCCCATACTTTCTGGAAGGTTTTCCTGTGCCAGCAATCCTATGTTCCGCTTTAGGTCAGGTGATGATTCATTAGCATTCTGTATAAATATTTTGTGAAAGTCCCCAAAGTTACCACACACCCATTTACTGTAACAATATTGTCAATAAGATATTCCATCATCACAGGATGTCTTACAAATGCAAACCCTCTTCTATAGTCATTTTTTTGGTGATAAGGAATGATTGGCCTATCTTTACTGAAAGGAGAGTAAAATAAGTAAAGGTTTCTGTTCCTCCATCTTGGTTTCCTCCCAGCATAATACCAACGACATGGGGCCATAACCTCAACTCCCCTGATACTCAACTCTTACATAGTCCAGTTGATAGTTTGGACTCCCTTATGGCCACTCACTTTGTGCCCTCCTCTACCAAAGCCCTATCCCTTAAGAAACAGCTCTTCTACATTTCTTCAGTAGTATTTTACTTGTTAACACTCAATAACAAATCAATCAGCTGGTCGTATGCATGATTTATATTTCTTCAACAGTATGTAACATACATAAAGTGTTACCTTTCCTGCCTTATCTTTTCATGTTTTACAACAGAGTGTAATAAACAGTATGCATCAGGTTTAAGTATTTTTGTGGAAGCTATTCACCTATGAACAAATAATAATACTTAAAAAATTACCATCCACGTTCCTGTACATTCCTGTCCAAAAAGTTGATGATTTTCTTTCAAGAGGCTCTATGTTGTGTGCCAGAAAGTCGACTTCAGCTGAATCTTCTACTGAAACTAAAGCAGCACCTGCAAAGCATTAGTAAACATGCTATATAAATGAGTTTTATAATGAAGCATATGCTCCCTATAAAGAGTGACTTTTTTCTTGTCAAGTTTTACAATACTTTTAAACCATTTTGCCATTGATTATTATTTCCAGGTCCCAGTAAAGGCAATAAGAATCCGTGCAGAAAATTACACCTGGAATGTTTCACTTCAGTGTAAATGTTCCCTTTTCCTCTCAGCAGCTTTGTTGACTACCTCCACCCTACGAATACACATGCACTTTTTTATTCTGTAACATTTGCCAATTAAAATGCTTTATATATTATAAATGTTTCAAATAATTAATTCATTATAGGTGCAGAATCTAATTGTGAAGTACACAAATATAATAGAATCAGAGAAAAGTAAGACTGGAAAGGACCTCAAGTCCTGAATCCAAACAGCTCTGGTTTTAGAGGTGCAATTTTTTTTCCCTAATTCTCTGAGGGTTAGGAAGGAAGGAGAAAATTGAGTGGTTGTACAGGAACTGTCTGACAAGTTTTTATTTCATTTTGTTGGAAAATGTTAAACTACTGGTTTTGACCACAGGCAGGTTACCAACAGACCTCCACATGGCTTCGTGGCAGCATACCTTGGGGCTGCTGGCTGTGGCTCCAATGGTGGTCATTCACATGGACTGCCTCAGAGCGATAGTCCTAAGGCTTCCCAATTCCCTCCTCCCTGTAGTGGAGCAAGGATCTGGAAGTCTCAACTTCCCACAAGGTTCTTATGGCTTCTGAGCTCCTAACTGTACAAGCGGAGCAGACCAGTGAGATCCCCAGCCATTATGGCCATTTCCCACAGTAGGACAGCCAGCCACTCTGCTACCACCACATAGAACAGATGACCTTGTACAAGCCCCATAATACCAGCCTACATGGCTATTACGGGTCATCTGATCCATACAGTAATGCCACATTGTTATATTTTCATATTATTATGATTACAAGTTGATCCAATGTATAAAGTCAAGTCTGATTTCTATGTTTTTTATTTGAAGGAGAAAAAGATCAATTTATAATTAAAATGACAGGATACTCAGAAAATGCTTAATTATAAATGGGAAAGTGAGAGCATGAGGAGAACAATGTGAATACTGTACACCAAATGTAAGAACATGGACTTTTTTTTTTGCTGTTTTCTTTATTATTAGAAGGCTCAGAAAAATCCTTTCATAAGTGTTGAAGATGAAACAGAGTCTGAAGAGTTTTAGCACATCATTCAATGTTACATTTATATAACGGAGGGCATTAATATGTATTGTTTTGATAAAGTTACCCCTTTGACGAATGGCATAAGAAATGTGGGGCCTTCTTCGTTGGTTTCTCGCATGAGGAGAAAGCAGTGACATAGAGACCAGCAATCTTCTCCTGTCAATGTTTAATTTGCACATAACAAACAGTCCCAGGCAGAGATGCCTTTCAGGAATTTCAGACCAACATTTTATTTCCAATGAGCAATTATACCTCAGCAACTGATTTACATCAGAAACACAACAGCATAGGTTTATAAGGCGCTCAGACTCCTGAGTCATTGAATCTGGTCTCTTTTTATCACAGGCAATTGTACCATGTGATCCTTTTCATAGATATATCAGGGATGTGGTATCAAAGTGGTTAAGTTTTCTTACAACATCTCTGAGATATGAGCCTGAAATCCCCTCTGAGTCTGGACTCTTGCTGAAGTTTCCTCGCAATCAACCCAACTGTAAATGAGTCATTCAACCTAAGGAATGAAAGGCAGCAGATGTGACCCTGACTACATATCACCCTTGCACACTTGGCTATAGCAACTGGAATGCCTAACCACACTATCCAGAAGGACTGCTCACCTCTGGCAGACCAATAGGTGACTTTGAGGCCCCCTCTACATGTTACAGGTATTGCATACTTAACTGGTTAATTATGCAATTAATCCGTTAATTATGCAATTACCTTGACACCAAATACACATGCAAAGTACTTTTCATACCATTAAAAAGGTCCAACTAGTTATAAAGTTAGACCTCAAAAATGTGTAATTATTTCATAGCTAGTTGCTATCGAGCTTTAATTTGTACATGTAGCAGGGTCTCCCCTGTGGCTGGAAGCCCCATCAGCACCATGCCCAGTGGGGGCTAGGAGCCCTGCAGCTAAGAAGGCTCTCAGCCCAGCTGCTGACTGTGGTTCCCAGCAGCCCCCCACAGCTGCCAAAACCCAGAACCCCACAGCTACAGATTCTGGGTCCCAGATGCAAGGCACCACTGCTGTCTCCCAGCCCCAGGGGTGCATGAAGCCTGAGCCAGGAGATCACATCTTCCAGCCCTAGGGGCTACACACACCCCTGGGGTTGGAAGGTAGTGGCAGCTGCATCTCCTATCTGTGGGGAGTGTGGGGCACCTTGTCACATTTAGCTTTAGTTGCACCTGCTTGAGTGGTGCATTAGAGTATTATTTGAACTTTTATTTTATAGTCAGCCTTATTTAACCATTGCTTAAGTTTTTCTATAACCTCATTATTATTTGTACTTTTCTTTTTTCATTTTGCTTGTGTTTGCATTATCAACTAGCCTTGAGTTCACTTTCACAGGCAGCTTATGTTCTGCTGTTATCAACATAGGTGTGTGAAATGTAGGCCTTGGTACTAGCTCAAATTAACTGAACCTGGCACTAACTGACTAAATCAGACAGATGACATGAGTGGATATGTAAATGAAAGGTGATAAGAGGGGACCAACTGAACAGTGCACAATTACAGAGCCCCTGGAATTTCCAGAGTTAATGGACAGACCAAATTAGGAATCCAGGGCATGCCCAAATTAAGATACTGGTAAAAGACCAAATTAAGATGTGTGCATGTGATGGGCTTGTTGAAATAAGAGAATATGCTGACAGGATAAAAACATGAACAGCATGAGGATCACAGAGAAACCAATCAACGGCACCCAGAAATGAAGAGTCACCAGGGGAGTAAAGTTAAAGAGAACGCATTAAAGTAAAACAGCAAGGAAGTTGGCTGTGTGTTGCCATCCAGCAACATCTGGACTGAAAAACAGCTATTACCCAGAGATGACCACCCTCTACTTTCAGGAACTCATTGGCCACCTTTTCTGTGAAGTAGAGTAACATCTGGGTTTAGGTGGGACCATTGGACTAAATGTTTTTCTCTCTCTCTATGTAGAAATTAAGATAACATTTAATGTATTAATAAAAGTTAGATTTTAGTTAAGTTGAACTGTGCGAGTCATATTCCACTGTGGCGGTGAAGTGCCCCCACAGGCTCTCGAGCGAAGACCCCAGACCCTGAGAGCAAGCCCCCAGAGGGGCGTACGTACCTGCAAAAGAGCAGCGGGAGCAGGAGCTGTGTTCACGGCTGTAGCCGCGTGAACCGCCATTACGCCGGCTGTAGCAACAGCTGTTCCCGGCACGGGGAACAGCTGAGCCAATCCCAGTGGCTGTAGCGGCAGCTGCGGGAAAGTTTAAAAACGCCGACAGAACAGGGAGAGAGGGGGAGACGGAGAGAGAGAGTACGGGTGGGCTGCTCATGCTGCGAGCTCGGGCGCAGAGAGGAGAGGACCCAGCCTGTGGGTCTCAAGCAGGCAGCTTAGCAGAGAGCTGTAAGCTTTCTACGGGAGGCAGAGCAGAAGGCAGACAGAGAGTGCAAGCCGAGGCACTCTCTCAGTCTCCTGAAGCGGCTGACGCTCAGGAGGCAGGGGAGCGCTCTGCTGTTGGCAGGAGAGGGGAGACAGTGGAGGCTCCAAGAGGGAGCTGGAATCAGGGAAATCACCCTGCAGCTCCTCCTAACTCGGAGGAGTATTTCCTGTAAAAGAGGAGAAAGGAGAAATCGCTCCCAGAAGGAGGGAGAATGACCAGGAACCGGAGAACTGGTCTGAGGCCGTCATACGAGGCCTGGAAACATCTTGAACGCATCACCCAGCGGTTGGCACGTGGACGGGGTGTAGGGGAGGCAGAGCCCCGTGGACCACCGCATCAGACGACCGTGAGTAACACCGTCTATTGGGAGGCCCCACCCAGGATAAAGATCTCCACTGTAGACCCCTCTTAAGGTATATATCTACATCCAAGTCGTGGCAGGCGAGTTGAGGGGAGGGGCAACACCCCGATAGACCAGGCGGAGCGGGGTGCAGGCTCCACATTCACATTAAACTCCAGGTTGATTATGCTTTGGTGATCCTGTAGCACCAAGGGTGCATAACACCTCAGCTGAGGGGGGAGGGGGGGGGCAACTATGGAAGTTTGCTTCTAGTTGGTGAGGGGAACCTAGGATCGGCCTCCCCCGGCACCAGCAATAAGGTGCAATGGGATCTAATGTGCAATCCCACAATCACGCCTCCTGCCATGCACGTGTGCCATGACAGGAGGCGCAATTGTGTGGACTGTGGATTAGATCCCATTGCATGTGGGGAAGGAATGGCTGGGTGGGCAGAGGCAGCAGGGGGCAGGTGGCAGCTGCAACTCTGACTCAAGAGCTAACCCCTGCCCATCGCTTCCTCATACTTAATTATAAGGTGAGGGGCTTTATTCCCCATGTTAAATGGGGCGGAAAACCTCATTTTCTAATCAAGCAATATGGTAATTAAAATAACTGAGAGGGAAATTGGTTCTATAACATAAACAATAAAAAACGGTATTAAAAATTAATAAAAACTCCAATTACTACTGCAGAAAAAGATTTTTTCCTTAACATTTAAGATATATTCACTCTTCTTTACAAAAAATTATACATATGTGATTTGTGAATGTTTTACCACTAATTCAAGATGACACTCACCTAAACGGAGGCATTCTAAGGATGCCTGGGCCCAGTTTCGAGTAAGTGATGACTCAAAGTAGTAACAATGGCCACGGAATGGGATCCAAGATCGACGTTCTTCTGTTTCAGGACACGTTCCTGGAAGTTGTGGAGGATCAGTGGGGGCCTTCACTGTTAAAAAAAAATAATCCAAATCATTTACCTGAACAGCTTTCTTATTTATGCTTTTACCATTAGTAGCATATATTAATTTGATGTCCTTTTTATTTTAACCAGAAAACTCCTCAAAGCTCTTAATCTCAATACAGGCTCTGTAATTCTGTATCCCTTATTATTATGCAATACTGGAAAAAATCTGAACCGGTAAATAAATAATGTTGCTGTTGCATTTTAGCCTCTACCATCCTTATTCAGGAAAGCTCTTAAGCATGTTCTTATCTTTAAACACATTCTTCTATTCCCACTCAGTAAAGTACTTATGCATATACTTATGGTTAAGAATGCGCCTCAGCTCCACGTTGAATTTTACATGTTGAGCCTCATGTTGAGCTTTACAGATTTTGGACCTAAATCTGGCCACATTGGGTTATAAACCAACACTATTCTTGATGTAGAAAAGCTGCTTTGATGATTCTACAGGACTTCAAGTGCAGGTTAAACCAGGATATTATAGGCAGGGATCCTGGTTTTCTCTGATTTAAAAAAAATCACCCATTCCTGCCCGGGGCAGGGGGTCAGACCTGATGATCTGTTTAGGTCCCTTCTGACCCTAAGTACTATGATACTATGAAAGAATTGATAATGGTTTTAGCTGACTGCTATTGTTGAAGAACAATAAATATAAACATAAATGATTTCAAAATACACCAGTTGCTCCTCTGAACCTAGACAAATGAAAATTATTTTCAACGTGTGGATCATGGGGACAACTTTATGTTAAAAAGCAATATTCAGAACACTGGAAATAATTCAAAAAGACTTTGGTGCTAAATGTATTTAAACAACTATTTGATATTATTTTGCCTCATAGATCTGTACATGCAGAACAATTAGTTTTCTTTGGATATTTCAACAAATTCTTACAGCCATGGACAGTTGTTCATTTCTATCACCACAAATTTCCTGGTCTGGGGAAGGCTGGGGAAACAGCAAAAGCTGGACTTCACCCAATCACAGAGGAGTTGAGAATAACATTCAGGTGTTCGTTATGGTGATAATCTCTAGGGGGCATATCTTTCTCCTAGATGGGGCATATTTCCTCCCCAAGAAACTGCATGGATGCCTGTATGCTGGAAATTTCAGATACTTTTAGTAGAAAGGTAACATGTTATTCAACATCTTCACTAATTATCTGGAAATGAGGATGCACAATGAAATCTCCAAGTTTTCAGATGATACCAAGTTATTCCAGGTAGGCAAATCCCAAAATGATGGAGAAGAGCTGCAGAAATATGTCACCAACCTAAGTGAGTGGGCAAAAAAATGGCAGATGAACATTAATGTCGACAAGTGCAAGGTAAAGCACGTGGGGAAAAATAACCATGAAGTATATATGCACAAGTTTTAGTTCTGAACTCAGGGGTGTTGGCTGTAGCTGTGTTGGTCTAAGGACATAAGCAAACAAGGGTAACTGTGATATCTTTTATTAGACCAACTAAAATTGTTCTTTGCAAGCTTCTGAGTACAAAAAGCTTACAAAGAACAATCTTTCCAACTATTTAGTTATTGAACTACTTAGTTATTGAACTATTGAACTAACTATTGAACCAACTATTGAACTAACTGTTACAACTCAGGAAAGAGACCTTAAGTCATTGTAGATCCCTAAAAACATTAGCTCAATGTGTAGCGCCAACCATAAAAGCCAATAAAATATTGAGCATCTTTAAGAAGGGAATTTAAAACAAAACTGAGAACATCATCATGTCTTTATACAAATCCATGGTGAATCCATATCTTGAATACTGTGTAAAGTTCTGGTCTCCACATCTCCAAAAGATGTATTAGAGTAAAAAAGGTACAGAAAAGGACAAACAAAAAAAAATCAGGGTGGACGGGGCAGTAGCTTTACCAGGAGAGACTAAAATGGCTAGGACTCTTCAATTTGGAAAGGAGAAGGCTGAGGAGGATATAATAGAGTTCTAAAGCATCATGAAGCCGGTGGAGCAAGTGAACAGGGAACTGTAATTCAGCAAATCCCAGAACACTAGAACTAGGGGGCAGTCACAGAAACTAGCAGGAAATAATTGCCACAGAGGTGGTAGATGCAAATAGCATAGCCAGGTCCAAAAGGTACTAGACAAATTCATGGATGATAGATCTATTAATAGGTGTTGAACAGAATGGCTACAGACGTTTCCTCTGGCATCTCTCTGGCAAATGGGGGATGGATGTCAGGGTGGAAGGGACATAAATAGGGAAGAGATCACTCTAGATATATTTGGTTCAATATATCTCTAGAGATAAAAAGCACCTACTTCTCCTACTGTGAGAGACAGGATACTAGGATAGATGGACCACTGGTCTGACCCAGTAAAGCATTTCTTATGTTCTTAATATTAAGCAAAGTTCCTTTGCTGTGTCAAGTAACTGGAAAAAGACATAAAGCATATAGTTTTATTTTGGCTTCATACTTGTCACAGTATTGTCAGTTATCTCTGTGCTTCTTCCTTCTGTCAACTCATAGATTTCGTAGACATTAGGGCTGGAAGGGACATCGGAAGATCATCGAGTTCAGCCCCCTGCCCCAGGGGCAGGAAATCAGCTGGGGTCATAGGATCCCAGCAAGATAAACATCCAAATTTCTCTTGAAAGCGTTCAAAGTAGGTGTTTGAACCACCTCCAATGGCAAGCTATTCCAGACCTTGGGGGCTCGGACAAAGCCTGACACACACCATGACTATATGTGGCCAAGATCTAAAGGGTGGTCCTAGTAGGTGCTTTATACTAACCCCAGACTTCCAATAGAAAACTAACATCTTTCCCTTCTAACAATGTTGTTAGAGATTAAATGTTCAGGTTCAATTGAACCATTCTAGACTGTAAAAGTACCATACTCAGCAGCAGGGTCCTCAAGGCTCTACTACATAGGCTTGAACCAGAGGCAGTAAAGCTATATTTGCATAGCATGGTGAGCATGTGGAACACTGCCACTCCACATGTTTTCTGTATTTTCTCTTGCTTTTACCTGGTGTTCTGTTCATCTGGTGAATAATGCCCTGACTTTTTAAAATAGATTTTACTTTTACAGGTAACTTCTGGACACACTGGAAGGATGGGGCAGACCTAGGATTTTGAAAAGGAGGGTGATGATAGTGTGGCACATCACCACACAGAACACAAGACATTTTTCTCCAGTTAAAGAGAAATTAAATGCTTTACTAATATGCTAAAAGTTAGCATTATATTATCCAGGTTAAGATCAAAGCAAAAATGTAGGCAAAAAATATTCAAAAGATATTGTGTCTTAGTCCTGTATTCATTAAAATTACATGTATATCTCATTCAGATTCATAAAATAAAATCTAGCCTTCTTGAGACTCTTGAAAGTGCCTCCAATATTTCACTGTCAATCATTCATGCTCCTGAGTTAACCTTAGGACACCTGAGCTAAGGTTTGTAGCTAGAGCTAAAAACACTCTGCAAGGCTGTAAAATAGAAAAGAAACGCTATCAGGAATGGCTAACAGACAGCAAAATTGCAAAAGGATCATTTAAATAGTGAAACATCAAGATCATTAAAAGGAATAGAGGGTCATTAATACCTGTAGAGTAGAGAGAGATTAGCAGGAAACAGGGAGGTGACAATGAGCCATAAATCCATTGGCTCTCTCAGCACAACCTGAATAGAAATGTCATTTCCACTCTCAGGCAGTTAGTTTTAAAGTTCGGGTGAAACAGGTATCAAAGGCAGGAGCGTGACTGCTGCACTGCATATCCCGTGCACCTATCCCTGGATGTTTGTGTTTGTCTCAGCATCCAGCTGGTGGCAAATTTAACAAAGAAAAAATACAAGCAAATAAAAGTGATAACATAAGGGGGGTTTTTCTCCTTCAAGCTGCAGTTTTAGGGCTCTGGAGATGATGATGTGGACATTCAATTAGAGGAAGGAACAAGCCTGTGGTTTTGGCTCTGGACCAGCAACCAGAAAACTTATGTTCTGCTGTTAGTTTGCAATGTAACTCTGGGTGAGTCACCGAATCACTGTGAGTTTCCTTTCTTTATAAGTGGGGTCATGATCTGTCATTGTAAAATGCTGTAAAATCTATTCATTATTATTCCTCACCTAACTTGCTTGGTTGATGATGTGTATATAATACCTCCTTTATTCATTCAGGGTTATTTTTTTGTCATATATTTGTTTGGTAACATACGGAAACCGATTACTTATCCAGTTTTTCAGAGATTACCATGTCATCTATACATGGACAATATTTTTTATCAACATCTTTCTTACACTTGATTTAATTTGGGAAATAAAGGATTGAGGGTACATTACAATATGTACTAAGTGGGGTATATAGTACTCCTCTTTAAAATTTCCAGGTACATTTATAACCAAATAATATGATCACAGTACTCACATGTATTTTATTTCTTATCAGTTTTCTGCAGCAGCTCTGGAAATATCATTCTGTTATCAAGGGCAAAGTTTCTTGCTAGCTCCCTATGACTACCCAAATCACACCTGAGAAGCAAGCCTATATAAATCCAAGCACAATTTTTGGCTGTCCTTTTACTGTCAAAGACTGTGTGCGTACAAAATTCAGTGGATAGGATGATGGATTAACTATTTCTATCATCTTCAAACTACACTGCTGTGCTAAGTGACTAATCAAACTTATGATGCCTCTTGCACAATTTTTGGTGTTTCTGCCACTATTAATATATTTGAGCTGCCTCAGCAATTTGTTTCTTCTGTTGTTTTATGATTATAGTTTCATAGTAGCTAGGGTCAGGAGGGACCTGAACAGATCATCTAGCCTGATCCCCTGCCACAGGCAGGAATGAATGCTGGGTTCACAAGACACCAGACAGGTCCAACCTCCTCTTGAACTTGCCCAAGGTAGGGGCGAGGACCACTTCCCTGGGAAGTTGGTTCCAGATTTTGGCCACCTGAACTGTAAAATATTGCCTCCTGAACTCTAACCTAAACCTATTCTCCATCAGCTT